AGATGGCACGTGAAGAAGATGAAGACTTTAAAAGATTCGTATATCTATTTCAGAAATGAATATCGTTATTACCTTTTAAACAACAAAAGTAGGATAAACCAAAGTTAAAATATCGAAGACGACTGCAAAATTAAATACACAAAAAATTATAAAATACTTTCTTAAAATACCCTTTTATAATATATCTTTATTGGGTACTTAAATGAAATATGTCTAGACTTCATTGAATGTAATTGTAAAAACACGGTCTTTACCTTTATTGTTTATCCGAAAAGCGAAAATAGCCTACAGAGATTCTGTATGTAACCTGATAAAATTTCCAAGGTATGTTCTTTATATTTTAATTGGTGTTTAATCATTAGGTTCTCTTGTTAAAATATGGACAGTATCTTATTTGCATCTAAGGGAATACATTAAGTTGTTTTACACTACTAAATTGACAGTAGCGTAGAAGAAAATAAATAACGGGTACATGTCAATTCCATCCAGAGCAAACAAATGTTTAAAAATGCAAGTCAATTCGGACCGTAATCTATGTCTTATCTGAAGAGCATGAGCCAATTAAGTACCCTTGGATAAAGAAATTAAAATAGATAAAATTAATGACTAAATCGTTTTGTTAATATTTAACATTAAAAGTATTTGCAATTAAATAAATACAAGCAAGTTCTGTTCTCGTTTAATAATTTTTTAGATCAACTTTTAAAGAAATTTCAATCTTCTTTCTCTGTTATATCCTCATTTTACATTGGCGATCATTATGGCACACGAAAGTTTATTTACAGCGGTTCTAAACATCTCTAAAGATATTTTACCCGTCCACTGATTTTTCAGCCAAGAGATTCGTCACCTACTTGGCCTTTTGCCCTCTTTTAATTTAACCTGCCTGATAGCTTGTAGAATTTGGTCTTTTACTACAGATTTTAAAATTTCCGAAGTGGACTTAGCTGGATCTTTTTACGTGCGAGAACGCATGGGTTTGTTTGTTCACTTATGCCGTTGTTCGTGCAATTTATCTGAAACTCGTTACCTCGTTGTCAAAAAATGTTTTATTCAAGCATTTCGTAGCTTTGTTGCAAGGCGGGGACGCCCGAGAATGGTTTATAATGATAATGAGACAAGTTTTCCGGAATTCGAAAATGCGCTTAAGCAGTTGAACTGGAATACTATCACGAAATATAATTCTGCACAACATATTAAGTGGCGTTTCAACATCACTACAGCTGCATGGCTGGGTCTATGAAGACTTATTTTTATTATTGTGTGATTGTGAGGGTATAGTTAACTCACGTCCGTTGACGTATCTTTCGGATAATCGTACTGAGTTAACCGTGTTAACCCGAAGTATGTTTTTACAGGAACAAGTCAATTTCGAGTTGTCGGATTCTAACGTTCTAGAGCAAAATCCTCTCATACGCCAAATTCGACATTTACAAGAGTTTGAGAAATTATTTGCGCAAATCATTTCGTGTTGAATATCTTCTTCTTCTTATGGTGCCTTATCCAATTAGTGGATGTTGGCGACAATTCTGGAATACTCCTCTCGATCTTGTGTGGCTCTAAAAAGTGCAATGGCATCGAGATTTGTCCAATCCCTTATGTTTTTAAACCATGAGTATTTCTTTCTTCCTATGCCTCGTTTTCCTTCTATCTTTCCTTCCATAATAAGCTTTAAGAACTGGTACTTGAAATTTCGAAATATATGCCCCAGATAAGCAGTTTTTCTTCTTTTTATTATTGGCAGCAATTCTCGTTCTCTGCCCATTCGATTTAATACTTCGACATTTGTTGTGTGATCTGTCCAGGGAATTTTAAGTAGTCTTCTAAATACCCACATTTCAAAGGTCTCCAATCGGTTCATCACATTGGCCTTTATGGTCCAGGCTTGTACACCATATAGCAGTATGGAGTAAATGTAACATTTTACAAAGCGATATCAAAGCATTAAGTTGAGGCTGCTGTTGCTTAGCAAGGTTCTCATATTAGTAAATGCTGTTCTGGCTTGCTTAATCCTGCTACGGATCTCTATGTCTGGATCTAGATCTTCAGTTATCCAACTAAATATCTGGCTCAACTTAAATCAGGAACGAAGAATGATAACATAAATCGTTTCCAGTGGCCTGTAGAAAAAGATATTGAACTTATACCTGGTGGGAAAAACCAGTTGCAGTTAGGTCGTCTTGTGACTGCACAAGACCAACTTCTGAGGCCATTACAAAGGCCTTACCCGGTGAAAGTCGTCATGGTAGTTATTACTGGCGAGAATGGCCTAGGTAATACTATACCCTAGGAAATGTAGTGGTTACAGAGAGGTTACTTTAAGAGAACGTTTGTCAATTCCATGTTGAGGAAGAACCAAGTGAAAAAAGTGCAGAAGCTATAAAAAGCAGAGCACCTGAATTAAATGAAACATATACGCGAAGTGGCCGGGTTGTGAAAACTCCGAAATTTAAGTGATGTTTTCTTGACTTGTAATTTTTCGTGACTCCCTGTATTTTTTTGAGAAATTATGTCAAATTTTTCAAGGTAGGAGAAAGCAATGTCAATAACTAGTTACTATGTTGACTTAAAAAAAATCTTAATTAGCCATCGTCTTCATCAGAGGGCTGGTGTGAGGTAATTAAATTTTACGACCTTTTCGTTTGGGAATCCAGAGAGTATCATAATATGAATATTATTGCTGCATAGATATAGTCAGTCGAATTTGTACCACCAAAGCAAACTGTATTGGAATAAAACTTGAATACGAAAGTTATTTTTTTGCACTTGGAATTTAATTATTTTTTATTCCAAATCCGAAACCTTTTTATCCACTTGCCTATTTTATCTACTTTGACTTAATTTTTTTCCTGTGATGCTGTTATTTTGATGCTCTACTTCTTCTTTTTCTTCTTCTTAGCCTTCTGTCGTCCATGTTTGGACATAGAAAACACAGAAATTAAAACACGTCACACATGTGTATTGTGGTATAAAAACAAACAAATATTTAAAACTTTATAAAAGTGTCGTCAACATTTAAATTCTGGCAGAACGTTTTCAATCTGAACAGATCATCCTCAGTGCTTCGTGTATTTGTTGCTAACAGTAAAGTTGTCTATAAGACCTCCATGTATGGGTTTACAGTATTCCAAATTTTACATTTAATAATTTTTTGACTCCAGTTCGATGACAATCGATGTATTTTTAAAATTACTTTAGGGACTACATGTCTCTCTGCTCGAATATTAGCACATGGTCATGGCTCGAATATTGCCATGCTGTAATGCTATTACGGTATCATGGCCACCTTCTTTATATAATTCAGCTGGGAGATTATCTATTCCGGGTGATTTGTTTCTGGCTAGCTTTTTAACTGCATATTTAACTTCAAGAATAGTTGGTGGTTCCTCTTATAAGAGTTCTAAACTTACTATTTTCTACTGAGTTTATTTTTTTTGTATTAACAAATATGTTTTGTTAAAATATTGTTTTAGGAATACAATATTTCTTTTAAAATACATAACGTCCATTCCCAGCTTCTCAATCTCCTCCACACCACTGGGAGAACAAGGGATTAATTGACTTGTCTCGAACTGGCTTATTATGTTTGTTAAATGGTTTCGAGGAATAAAATCAAGAGTACAAATTAATTATTCAGTAAGCTTGGATGATTTATGGTGAGACGTTTGTGGTAGGTAGTCGAAATGTTTGAGAGAAATGTTTTAAATAATTCCTAGTGATTTCTGTAAAAAATGAACCGAAATATCAAATGTTAATTAGCGGTGCTGGTAGAAAAAAATAACTCTTTAAGGAACCGACAAGGTGGAATTTAGAGGAGATATAGGAGATATACAGATTGTGATAATTTTATGCCCGACGAGTAGCTGTAACTCGTACAAATTCACACAAATCTACAGAGAAATCCTTCTGACAGAGGAAGTGTCTATGTTTATGCAAACCTTCATTGCAAATTTTGATATAATATTACAGTTATTAAACAAGCAACAGAGTTTATGTTAAGTAATTAAGAAAGAAAAAACACAAATAAAAATAAATTTTATCTCATTTGAACTTGGAATAATCCCTTTAATATGCTTAACTTTTAAGAACTTTTATATTGTTATTCTTTTATTTAAAAAAAGATTACTGTATATAGCACTAACATTTTCAATTTCTTCTCTTTTGTTTAAGGTGTTTTGTGTAGTTTTAATTAAACACATTTCTAGAAACAGTCTTTTGTTGTAATTTCTTTCCCTTCTCAATATTTCTGTTTGATCATAGTTAGGCGTATGGCCCATTGTAATACAATGTTCACTTAATGCACAGGCTTGTACTTTATTCAGATTAATATTACTCTTGTGAGATGGTAATCTTCCGGACAAATTTCTGGATGTTTCTCCAATATATACTCTATTACAATTATTGCAGGGTAGAGAGTACACTACATTGGAGCTTTCTCTATTATTTAAGGGTGTTTTAAGTTTAGTATATAATTTCGATATTGTTTTTATATTTCTGGTTCCAATTTTGATACTAGGTACTTCTCTCAATGTATTTAGTAGTCTATTTGTTAAACCTGGAATATATGGTAAAGAGTGGTACAATGTATTTTGGTTGTTTGTTGAAACTTCTGTTTGATTTGTCCTGACTTGAGAGACACCAAAAATAAGTCTTTATAAAAATAAGTTTTACCACTGATTTACAGCCGTGATTCTTCAGTCCCTTACAGTTTATATAGGACTGAGACAATGACTGAGTCTCACGCGGCTATAATGCAGAATTAAGACAACTAGGTGTGTCATGCAGTTATTATCGAAAATAACATGTGACACAACATTTATGTCTCACGGCAACCAACGTGTTAAATTAGTATTTGATGCGGTCAACTGATATACAAATAAATTAATGTTTTTATTTTAGTATAGAATTTGCCTTTTTTTCAAGGTTAGTCGTCGCCGCTGTACAAATTCTAAAATATCTCGACTATTAAACAGAGATAAAAACTGATAAAATATTTAATAGTAAACAAATTATTATTAGAGGTTAAGTGCTGCATACGGAATATAAGAATATAGTAATTAAACACAAATATGGTTAAATCGAAAATATACCTTTTCCAGAAATATTTTGATGGATATCCAAAACAGACTGACTTTAAATTAGTAGAGAAAGAATTACCACCAATAAAAGATAATGGTAAGTTTGAGATTATGTGTCTATATTTTTAAATTAGCTACTGTAATAATAGCAATGCATCCAATATCTAAATATTATGACAATTTTTACGACCTTTAAAGAGATTCTTGCCACTGGAACAAGGTGCCAAGTATTTGTAAATGCCGTCTAGTTTTTTACGGGGGTATTTCATTGCAATCCAATTTAACCCAGATATGCCTGACGTACAATAAATTGTACACCACAAATATCTTTTAACTTGATTATCTATAAGAATAATATTTCTTATCCACCTAAATAGTTTCAGTATGTAGTATTTAACCATAGAGTGTAGTTGTGAATTGCTGGCTTTGAAATATTTGGCGATAATATTGTGATAAAGTTTACAGTTTTTATAACTTGGCCGAATTCGGAATACGATTTGCTAAGTAAGTAAATATTGGAAGAAAGACCTTCTTGGCAAGACATTAGTGCATATAGTCCCGAAGTCAAGTGTTACTGGAGCCAATGGATTTGACTAATGTTGAAAGATGATCTTCTGTACAGAACCGAAAGTGTTTTTACAAATTATATACGAAGAATAGATGATAGAATAACTGAACACCAATTGGGATTCAGAAAAGACTTTGGCACCAAAGAAGTATTATTTACTGTACAAACACTAATCGAACGATGTCGAGATGTCAATTGCGACGTATTCATATGTCTAGTCGACTTTAAAAAAGCTTCCGATGAAGTACAACACCGAAGAATGGCAAAAATACTGCAGAACACAGAATTAGATGACGAAGACGAGAGAATCATTGCCAATCTATACCGATATCAGAAAGCCATAATACGAATAGACCAACAAAAATCGAAAGAAATACTTACAAATCGTGGACTAAGACATAATGTGTGCTTTATCCTTTACTTTCTAATATGTATTCAGAAGAATTGTTTAAAGAGGCACTAGAAGACGTAAATAAAGGCATATTTATTAATGGACCACTTCTGAATAATCTTAGATAAGCAGGTGACACAATACTCCTTGCAGACAGTAAAGAAGGACTACAGATCTTGGTTGATCGCATTACCCAATATTGCGAAAGGTATGGCATGGAACTGAATAATATAAAACAAAAATTATGGTGGTAAGCAAGAACAAAATGAAGGAAGACAGTGTTTATGCTAAAAGAAAACTTTTAGACATGGTGCACAGATATCAGTACTTAGGTTGCGAACTAAATGAAGAATGGGATCCTCCTCCTCCTAAGTGCCTTCTCTATTGAGGTTGGCGATAAATATGGCAAATTTCTCTCTGTTCTGGGCTTGATGTATTAAGTCATTTCCTGTTGTGTGAGTCCAATCTCTGTTGTTTCGGAGCCAGGATTTCCTCTTTCTTCCTATACCCCTTTTACCCTCGATTTTGCCTTCTCATATTACCTGGAGCTGCTCAAATTGAGTGGTCTAGCTGACTGTTTAGCTCTCTGCCCAGGTATATGAAGCTTTGGGAGCTCTGAAGGGTGATACCATTGATACATACAATATTTTTAGTTGGTCTTCTGTTTCTGCTAATACTACGGTGTCATGGGCATATCTTACATTGTTAATGATGATTCCATTGACTCTGGAACCTTCAGGGCGATCTTCAAGAGAAGCTCTGATGATATTTTCGGCATAGACATTAAATAGAAGAGGGTACAGAATGCTCCCTTGACGCACTCCTCGTTCTATGTTTAGATATGAATAAGAATGGGATAAAAGTACGAAAAAAAACGACGTATTGAGATAATTAGAAGTACTTTTAAAAAGATGAAAGCAATAGTATGCAATGGAATGCAACATTAAAATTAGAACTAGAGTATTGAGATGCTAGTATTCTCTGTTCTGTTGAATAAAGTTGAGGCCTGGACAATTACAGAGGCTACAGAGAAAAAACTCATTAACTTTTAAATGTGGTGTTATTGAAGAATGTAGAAAATATCTTGGACACAACACATAACAAATGCGGAAACGCTACGAAGAATGAAAAAAGATAAAGAAATACTCAACACTAAAGAAAAGAAAAATGAGCTACTTTGGTCACATACTAAGAAACGAGAAATACAAATTGATGCGGCTGGTCATACAAAGGGAGGTGGAAGGTACAAGAGAACCTGGGAGAAGACGCACGTCCTAGTTGAAGAATCTGAGACAATGGAGTGGGAAAACGTCAATAGAACTTTTCAGAATGGCTGCAGATAGAGTCAAATGGGTCATGATGATCGTCAATGCCCTTAAGGATGGGGCACGTTACTAAGAAGAACAGAGTGCAAAATATGATGTTTTTTAAGAGTGGTCGTTGGATGAATTCTCAAAATAAAAAGTCATTTCTAACTTCATAGATGAAGACCCTTTCATTTTAGTTTGAGCTTCCTTAGTTTTTCCTATTTTATTTGTCTTCTAGAACAGATTAGAATATTTACCGAAGAATACTTGATGAAAACATTAAACTAAATGTAAGACTAAGAAGCACTTTTCAGTAATAGAAACAGCAATAAACAACCTTATGACATTATTGCAAAACGCTGCAAAAGAAGCGACACCGAACGATGCAGATAAAAATAAAATCGAGAATAGAATAAATATTCCACTAGAAATTAAAAAGCTCATTGCTGAAAAAAGAAGAGCAAGAGCCAAATGGCAACAAAGTCGGAGCCCAGCGAATAAAACGTTTTACAATCGCTTAACCAATAAATTAAAAATACAACCAAAAATTGCAAGAGAGTCAGTCAAAAAATATGTAACACAACTTAATAGATACGACCATTCAATATGGAAACTAATCAAATCATCCTTAAAACCTCAAGCATTATCGCCACCAGTAAGAAAAACCACAGACACACAGAACCAATGGGCCAGAAGCGATACAAAAAATCAGAATTATTTACTGAACATTTAGCAACAGTAGTCACTGTTGCTACTCCAAGCTGTCAATAAATAATAAAATTCTAATTTATAAAACAGTTATCAAACCAATATGGACATATGGCATAGAGCTGTGGGGCTGTAGTAGTAAATCTAATATTGCTATTATGGAAAGATGCCAATCAAAAATCTTAAGAGCAATTGTTGATGCACCCTGGTACATAACCAACCAAAGAATCTATGAGGATCTCAATATCTTAACAGTGAAAGAAGTATACCATCAAAAGAAATTACAATACATTAAAAAAGTGAACACACACTCCAATCCATTAATTTCCGCAATACCTCAACATCGAGTTATCAACCTCTCACTGGAGGGGACCACATCACGCCAGAACCAAGGGACAGGACCTAAAGTCATCACATTAACTTATAGAATACATGTTTTATTCTGACTGATAATGTATTAGTTATAATAAAAAAAATCTTCTAAATGTTTGATTCTTAATTCTAAATACTATAAAATACATTATTGGTATTATCTTCTTTGTTATCGTTAAGTTTTCTCTGATTAGTATGTACTCTTTTTTAGAATTTTTAGCAGAAGCGGCATATTTTAGTGTCGATCCTTATATGAGGTCCTATTCCGTAAGGTATCCATTAGGAATTCCTTTTGTGGGCTCACAGGTGGCAAAGTAAGTACAAACTTTCAATAGATTTATAACTTTACTAAGTCGGACTAATAAGTACTTAGCTTACAAAAGAAAACAAAAATTTTGGAAAAGTGGCTATTTATTTCTCAAAATAGGCTAATTTTAGCTCGATACACTTGACCCAACAATGCTCCATCGACAGTACAAAAATAACAATCATTTGAATGATTTTTTGCTCTCTCCATACCATAGGCACTGCAAATCTAAAAGCTTTTTTCTTTCTTCTAACACTTCCTTAAATCCTTAATACAAACATAACATACATTGTTAGGGGCCCAACCTTTGTCTTGGTCACCACTTTTCACACCAAAATATGCAAAATAAACATTTTTCAAGAAGTCACATTATTGACTTCTCGGATGTTTTTCAATAAAAAGATCACCACATATGTAACAAAATGTATTTGGACAGTTCTTAGAACTACGAGCTATACTTAGAAGCATATGAGTCAAACACTGAAAAGTGAGGTTATGTTCATTCGAGTGATATAGCATTTGTACTGTGATTTTCGGACTCAGCACACTAATATACATATGATAGAAGTAATTTTCTCAAAAAAGTTTTATCATCATTGCGTTGGCCTGTGTTATTAAACACATTTGTTGTTAGATTTTTATATTTTATATTAACCTTCCGCTACCGGAGGGGGGTACAGATTGTACCCCAAATTCGATTTTTCATGAATAATTTTTAAAAATGTTGGAATTTTGTTTAACTGTTCTAGTTACTTCTTCATTGGGATGTGTAAAAGCATATCCAACCATTTGGATTCAATTTGACATATTTTTACCTATGAAAAGTGCAGCACTGTGCTTGGGGTACAAGTTGTACCCCCTCCGTCAACCGCAGTACAGTTCATTTCGGTCGACGCCACTGACTAAACCAGACGTTTTGCGCACGGCACCAAACCTGTTGTTTGTAACACACACAGTTCTGTGGATGACTTAGTGCTAACATACCGTTTTAGTTTATCCATTTGTGATTACACGATTTACCGATATGTCGAAAAAAATAAAGTTAGACCTTCGGAAAGAACAGGACCGTGAAACTGCAGTGCAGCGGTTAGAGGAAAGGGATGATTACCTTTTTGAAAGAGATAGTTTATCGGATGATTCAGAATTAGATGATAATTTAGAAGTAGCGGAATTTGAGCCTGAAATTTTGCAGGTAATTTTTATTTTTGTTTTATGTACGATATTTCTATCGAGTTTATTATATTTAAGCCATATGAGAGCGACAGTAATGATTCCGATAAACCAGTTTTGAAGGCAGTAGATTCTACATTTATTTCCAAGAATGGTACAGTTTGGAAAAATCGTCCTTTACGACAAACTAGATGTCGCACAAAAAACTTGCTTGAAAAACCAGGGCTTACAGAAAAATCTAAAAATGTCGCTAAAATTAGTGATTGCTTCAAATTATTTGTAGATGAGAAAATTGTAGAGATCATCGTCAAATGCACAAACCAGAAAGCGGAGAAATACTTTCAGGATTGGAATGGGAAAAATCCTAATAAAACAAGAACCTGGTTGCCCACTTATCCAGTGAAAATTTATACGGTCTTGGGACACTTGATTACGGCGGGTGCGCTAAAAGCCAATAGGGAACCAGTGCACTTTTTGTGGTGTCGGAACCCTTTGTACAGTCGATCTATTTTTCGGCTGCCATGTCACGCTACCGATTTCTAGATTTAATTTCACTTATGCGATTCGATGATTTGAACACTAGAGAAGAACGTAGAAGTTCTGACTAACTAGCAGCTTTTAAGGAAGTGTTTACAAAGTTTGTAGAACACTGTAAAGAAAGTTTTAAGTGCCACTTTCTTCTAACTGTTGATGAACAACTTGTAAGTTTTAGAGGTAAGTGTCCATTTAGAGTCTACACGAAATCAAAACCAGTCAAGTATGGCATTAAAATATGGGCTCTAGTTAATGCAACAATCACCTATGCTGCTAACCTTTAGATTTATACTGGTAAAGATGGTAACAAACCAGAAAAAGACCAGGGCAAAAGAGTAGTACCTACTTGATTTGGTCTCATTTCTAAAAACTGGTTATGGCATCACTACTGATAATTTCTTTACCAGTGTTCCCTTGGCAAAACAACTCCTAGATCGACAAATAACATTATGTGGGACACTTCGAAAAAACAAGCAGGATATCCCTCCAGCCCTACTACCCAATATTTCTAGACAAGAAAAGTCCTCAGTTTTTTCCTTCACTGAGGAAATAACACTGGCGTCTTACTTTCCTAAAAAAATAAGGCAGTAATTTTATTGAGTACAGAACATAACGACGATAAAATTAGCGGAGAAGAGACGGACTATAAACCAGACATAACCTTGCATTACAATTCTACAAAAGGTGCCGTAGATACTATGGATAAGATGGTAAATAAATATTCTTGTAAAAGAGCCTTTAAGAGATGGCCATTTGTTTTGTTTCAAAATCTTCTAGACATTGCAGGTCTGAATGCATACGTACTGTGGACGACAAAGAATTCCATTCGTGCGTATGAAGCTTCTCACAGACGTAGAGAATTTTTACTAAACCTGGGTCAAGAACTTATAAAGCCCCATGTCGATTGGCGACTACAAAGTCCACAAAAATTCTATAAGCGAATTATAAACGCGATGTAAGAATTATGCCCACCGCCACCAAGTTAGAATCGCAAAAACGACGCCACCATCTTGAAATCCTCAGGGCGATGTTTACTTTGTCCACGCAGGAAGGAGCGCAAAAGCAGAAAAACGTGCAATTCTTGTAAATTATTTGTTTGTGCTGAACATCAAACAACCAAAACAATTCAAACGATAATATGTACAAAATGCTAATCAAAAAAACGATAATTAATTTTTTCAAGACACCATATATTGTTTTATAAATAACAGAGATAGAGCTGGAAACGCCGAACAAAACTTCAGTATAGACCAATATAATTTTGAGGTAGTAAATAAGTTTACATATTTGGGTTCTCTCATAACAAACGATAATGACACATCTGAAGAAGTTAAACGGAGGGTACTGCTAGCAAACAAATGTTATTTTGGACTAAGCAAGCAGCTAAAAAACAGAAATTTAAGCCAGAAAACCAAACTAATAATATATTGAACACTCATCCTACCAGTGCTGACATATGGGTCAGAAACATGGACCATCTCCAAAACAGACGCAAATCTTCTGCTCGTCTTCGAAAGGAAGATACTAAGAAGAATAATGGGCGCATTCTGTGAGAATGGTATTTGGAGAAGGCGATATAATTTCGAATTGTACGAGAAGTATAAAAAAATAGTAAATGGTAGAGATGTAATATCCTTCATAAAAATAGGTAGGCTTAGATGGGCTGGACATGTGTCAAGAGCAAATGAAAATTACCCACCCAGACGAACTCTATTATCGGTCCCAGTGGGAAATAGGAGTAGAGGCAGACCACGACTGAGATGGAGGGACGGTGTGGACGAGGACGCAAGGAAAATCGGCGCGGCAAATTGGCAACGGTTGGCGATGAACAGAAACAACTGGCGAAATAGACTAAGGAAGGTCAAGGCTCAACTAGAGCTGTAGCACCACTGATGATGATGATGATATATTGTTTTATTGTTACTTATATTCAATAAAAAATACTTGCATTTGTTTTAATTATGTTTTAACTAAAATTATTGCATTATGTTAATATTTAATCTATAAAAATGCATGGGGTACATAATGTACCCCCTCCGTCAACTACAAAACAACTTGACCCTTCGGTAGCGAGAGGTTAACTTTGAAAAATGTCCATTAAATTGGTGCAGTTTTTAACTTTTGTTGGATTATTTCATAATGAAGACATTATGTTGCACTACAATTAAGATAAGTTCATTGCTGTCTAATCAGGTTGACGATAACGATATGTCACTGTTTAAAATCCTATCAAAACTTATTTATATAAATATAAGAAAAAAATATTGTGTTTCTTAAACATTTTTGATGTGTTTAAGTATTTTACGAGGCAATTTTTAAGTAGATTTTTTTTAATCGAATTTTTTTCTAAATTTCTGACATTTTCTAAATGTTTTAAAAAGCTAAACATTTTAGCTAATATTTTAAAACACTATGCGTATTGCATTGATTTGGTAATGGAAACTAAGAGGATTATCTTTTGGTTACAATGGATTTCCCCTCCGGTTCGTATAATTCCGACCAACTATCAGTGTTAATTATGCGAATTTGAGTTTAATTAATCTACAGACTGTTGTTATAATATCCAATATTATTAATAGAACTTTATTGTAGAATAATCGAAAGCAAGAATCCAGACTTTCCCGTCGGAAAATATGTGGTTGCTAACTTTGATTGGAAAACGTACACAGTATCAGATGGAAAAGCACCTGAAGGTCATGTCTTTACACAGGATCCATACCTTTTACCAGATATAGGAAATATACGTGTATCTACTGGACTTGGAGTATTAGGAATGCCAGGGTAAAAATTTCAGAAAATATATTTTTTTTATATTTGAATGTTATGATAAAAAGTGTTTGGAATTTAATAATTATATATGTCAATTAATTTATAATTTACTTGTAAATTGTAGAATCATATTATTATATCGCTTTTATTTTCATCGCCAGTGTCATCCCGAATATCAACATTATCAATTATCTTTCAGATTCCATAATATTTTAAAATATTTTACGTAATAAAAGTAACTGGCAAAAGCAGTGTGATAAGAAACAACTTAATTTTTGTTTAAGATATCAAAGGTGTCGTTAGAGCTCGTAGTTAATCTCGATAACTGTTTCTTTGAACACATCCACTCTTTTAAAAATGTCTATTATCCGTTTAATGGAGATATTTGTTACAGAACCAGGTTCTAAAAAGACCTGTTTCAGACACTTATAGTCCAGGAAATGAAGCATTTCACCTCGCAATTTTTTCGTCCTACATGGATTGACTTGAAATTTTAACAAAAGGTGGGTAATAGCCTAAGGATCAAAATCGATATCGAATTAAAGTTCGCCAAAGCTTTGGGGGTGGTCGCCACCTCATCTCGGGGTGAAAATTTTTTTTTGCGTTTTAACTACAAGTTTCGATTAAAAAAGTGATTTTAAACAAAAAACGTTCTATACATTTTTTTTGTAAAACTGATATTTTTCAAGTTATTCGCGATTGAAAGTAACAACTTTTAGACGAAAAAATCGACGTTTTTAATCGATTTTTCGCGAATAACTCGAAAATGGTGCATTCTATCAAAAAAAATTGTAGAGAACAAATTTGTGGCTTTTAAAAAGACAAATACAATTAATTTTTTAAAATGTTTTTGTGATATAATAGGAACCGAACTACGGCCTATCAATGTTCAGCGGTTTTCTTCAAATGCCAAATTTGAAAGATTCAAAGTCAAATATCGGAAAAATGATGCATTTTTGGAAGAAAACTCATGGAACCTTTTTTAAAGAGCATAAATAGACCTATCATAAAAAAATACTCTTGCTCAAAAATTGAGTGAGTTATGATGAAAATAAGGTCAATACCTCATTTTTTTACGAAAAAATCGATTTAAACAACCCCCTTACTACCCCAATAATTAATCTATCTTCACCTTCTGCAATTCTCTTTGTACATGTATTGTTAATACGTCCAAGAAGTTTGACTTATTTAAAATGCTTAGTTTTAGAAAAAGTATAGCTTAAAGCGAGAAACGATTTACAATTTTATATTTTTTACCCTTCTTTTTTTAAATATCCCCGAAAATACTAAATATATGAAAAAAATAAAAATGTACTGAATTGAAGCTTTTGTAACGATTAATACTTTTCTTTATTTAGATTTGTTGTACAATGAATATTTTTAGAGATATAGCCGTTTAAAGCACCGATTTACGATCAAGCTCCATCTTTTTCGAGCATTTAAACTCACCCCATTTAAAAATCAAGGGTTCCAAAAAGATTTAATTCACAGATCCTTGTAGCTCTTAAAAACCTTTACAAAATCGTTTTTGAAGAAACACTTTATCGTTAAAAATGGAGGAAATACGTTACAAAAACCAATTAATTTTTTTTTCCGGAAATATTCCATTAGTACAGTACAGTACATTTCGGAGCATAATAATCTACAAAACCGGTATATTAGGTAGTGGGGCGTTATACATTCGAAATTTTAAGCGTTCTTATCTTGAAATCCCATACAACAGAATAAAACATCAGCTCATTTGTCTACGTGTGTGAGTGTATATTTCGTTAGTTCCTCGTCAGTGTTTTCTCAAGTTTAAAAAGAAGTAGCACGTGCACTGACAATATTTTTAAAATTATTCAGTTGTGTTTATTGTAATTGTGAAAATAAACGGGTTAATGCATAAAAAATTCATTATATTTCTTTATAATTTTAGCAAAAAATAGTTTTCACCTATAGCACTCATAACAATTGAATTTTAAGGTTTGAAAATTTATGAAATTGTATTTTAAAGTATAAAAAATCACTATTTAACTAATCCAAACCAAATTTCACTCATCTTAAGATTTGTAATGTTATTTTACAATTTTTGAAAATTAGGGGTAGTTTTCACCCCTAAGAACAATCAGGGTTCATCGGCATGACATAAACTATAAAGCAGAGGGTGAGTTGAGTTTAAATCCAAATTTTTATCCAAATCGATCCAAGGCGAAATCATTTTTTTAGAATTAGTAATTTTTTTACATTAATCTCTAACAAGGGTTGCTTTTTAAGGGTTGAAATATGATGGAACTCTATTCAAAAGTATAAAATAATCATTATTTAACTAACTCAAACCAAATCTTGCCCATATTCAGGTTTAATATGTTATTTTATAATTTTTTACAATTAAGGGTAGTTTTCACCCCTAAAACCCTTCAGTGCACTTCGGTTCGATATAGATGTTGATCCTTGGGTTATCACCTACCTTCTGTTAAAATTTCAACTCAATCCATGCAGGACGAAAAAATTGCGAGGTTTTAACTTTTTTCGAGCTTCATTTCCTGAACTATTATGGCATTGGAATTGCCTTGAAATTAGCAAAAAATACTAGTTCGCTTTCCATTACGCTATTTTGACCTGACCTTTATAGTCCTTTCGACCTGAAGCTGGAAGTGATGTGATAGTTTTCCAGCTGCATGTAGACTATTTAAAAACCTCTGTACACTTCTGCTCCCCTAAGTATTTTTTTAGGTTTGTTTAAAGGATCCACACTCTGATAGACTAATTACAGAGACTAACAAGTGGTCATGTGAGGTTAGACACTAACAGGAGGTCATTTAAACTTATCACATAAACGACACCTTAAACCATTGATTACTCCGAGTAGATATCTAGGTATCAATTAGCTGATGGCTAAACTACGATGATTTTAAGGGACATATCTTACGGTTAAGTAAAGCCTAGACTACTTAAATCGTTATCATCCTTTCAAAAGCATAGAAACCTCTGACAGAAGGTCCATTAAGACTACTTCAACCAATATTGAATAGCAGAGGTTCCTATTTTGATAAAACTTTATTTTGTTATTAGGTATTTTAAAGATTTTAAAGATATCTTATTTTTATTGCTTACAGAAATACTGCTTACTTTGGTGTAACAGAAATACTGAAACCCAAACAAGGTGAGACTGTAGTAATATCTGGAGCAGCTGGTGCTGTGGGTAGCATCGCAGGTCAGCTGTGCAAGTTAATGGGTTGTAAAGTAGTTGGGATTACGGGATCAAAAGAAAAGGGTAAATGGTTAGTTGAGGATCTAGGCTTTGATACTTATATAAACTATAAAACACGTAACTTGGACGAAGCTCTTAAAGAAGTTGTACCGGAAGGAATCGATCGCTACTTTGACAATGTAAGTAGTTGAAAGGTATTTTACTTACGGTGATTGTAAGTATAAAGTTAGATTTAGGTCTTAAAAGGTAAAGTTAGGTTGAGCTTTAAGGTATACTATTATATTAAATTATATTACATATTACTTCGGAGATGCTAAAAATGGGAGGCACTGCATTAGAAGACGCAATGCGACCATTACTGAATAAATGCCTATTAGAAGGACAAATACCAAAGACATGGAAAAATACGGATGTCATTCTACTCCATAAAAAAGGGGACGCCGCAAATATAGAAAAATACCGACCAATAAGCTAATTGTCACACCTATACAAACTACTAACCCGAATAATAACAAATACATTGACAGCTAAACTAGATGCATACCAACCAGTGGAGCAAGCAGGCTTCCGTAAGAGTTTTAGCACTATCGATCACTTGCAAACAATCCGAACAGTTATTGAAAAAACAATAGACTACAACATACCACTACATCTGGCATTTGTCGATTATCACAAAGCATTCGACAGTATCGAGAAATGGGCTTTCTTAACAGCATTGGACGACGCCAAAGTAGATTCAAGATATGCTGCCCTCCACATAAAAATAGATGATGATCTGGAAACTATGAAAATAGATCTTGGCAAAGGTGTGAGACAGGGCGACACCATCTCACCCAAATTATTTACTTTGGCATTAGAAAATGTTCTCAAAAAACTAAATTGGGCCGAAAGGGGATTAAAAGTAGATGGAGTATATCTTAACCATTTGCGTTTCGCAGACGACATAGTACTAATAAGCACAGATATCCATGAACTGAAATCAATGCTACGAGATTTAAATCACAAATCGAATCAAATAGGATTAAAAATGAATCTCGACAAAACAAAGATATTAAGCAACAGCCTAAAAAACATCAAGATATATAACATCAATATAGAAAAGGTAGACCAATATATATATATATATATATATATATATATATAGGACATGCAATTAAAAACGAAAAGGAAAACCAAACCTTAAAAGGACACAATTGTCATGGGCTGCTTTTGGTAAGTTGAGCTTCATATTAAAAGACAAAAAAATCCCAATTCACTTAAAACGAAAAACCTATGACACTTGTATACTAGCAGTGGTAACTTATGGGTTGGAAACTATGGCACTAACAAGAAAAATTGCAGAACAATTAAGAGTAACTCAACGGGCCATGGAGGGGGCCATGATAAATATAAGCCTTAGAGACAAAATTCCTAACACCGAAATACGTCGAAGAACTAAAATAACCGACATCATGGGAAAAATAGCGACATTGAGATGGCAATGGGTAGCACATGTAGCAAGACAAGACACTAACAGATGGTCTCATAAAGTGACATTCTGGAGACCTCGAGAAACAAAACGAAGCGTAGGAAGAGCCAAAAAGAGATGGATAGACGATATAACAGCTGTAGCTGGAAAACAGTGGATGAGAATTGCAAATGTCCAACAATGGATAAATGAAGGCTGAAGAAGAAGAAGAAGAAGAATATTACCAATGGAAGATTTTCTCAATATCTAGTAAGCTTCTTGTGATTACCTGAGGATTGTAACAAATTCTACGGGGTGTTTATCAGCTTTAAAGTGTTACAAGTGTAATAAACTCAAAATCTGTGACAATTTTGATACTATTTTGATGAACTAGGATCATTTTAGTGTAAATACATTTGTAGGTTGGAGGTGACACAACATTCTCAGTTCTAAAGCATATGAATCGTTATGGACATACAGCTGTATGCGGAGGAATTTCGGGATACAATGAGACAGACCCTCAAAGTAAGTTTTACAAATAGCCTTTAGGTGTTATGTGTTTTGTTATTTTATTTTTAACGTCTTTTGCCATAAAGACTATGAAATCAGAACATGTCAGGAATATACATATCTAAAAAACATGTAAGAACGTCTGTTTGATAGACAGAGAAGAATATCAAAAGGTAAAGCGGTAACTCAAAGACTAAACTCAATAATAGCGTTGACAAAAATAAAACAAGAAACCAAATTAACAATATACATGCATATAGGCTAAACCATGATTGAAGCCAAGTTGAAAAAGGAGCATATTATCTTGGGAACATGTTAACATGTTCCTTTTCAAACTTGGCCGCACCGTATTTGATAATGACCTGATAGTTAAAAATTTACGGTTTCCTTCCATCGATATACCCATTTTGTGTTTTGTTTTTTGCGAGACATGCCATTGCATTTTCATCGATGAGCATTCCATGTAAAATTAGGAATATCTTTATGTCTTTGATATCTAAAGAACATGTTGGTGATTTTTAATTTATAAACTTTTTGTAAACTATTTTTAATTTTAGGTTTGATTTTCTATTAATTTATTTTTCCATTACAGTTCCAGATCTTGCTCTTCTGATTGTAATGAAAGAATTATCCATACAAGGCTTTCATGTTCATCGATGGTTAGACCGATGGAATGAAGGAATACTCAACAATTTAAAATTAATACAAGAAGGCAAGCTAAAGTATAAAGAAACAGTGTTTGAAGGATTTGAAAATTTGTACCAAGCTTTTCTAAGCATGAATAAAGGCGAAGGTATAGGAAAAATCGTTGTTAAAGCATAGAATAAAATAAAATACTTATATTGACATTAAATAGTTTTTATGTTTATCATGTAACTTTCCTACCAAGAATCACTACAAGATACTGGTATCCTCCCAATAATACCACTTTTATTTCATTCAAGGCCGAAGACTAAATTATTAATTTCTTTATATATTAGAATGGAACAAGAATATTTTCTTTATACACAAAATACACGAGGTTTACAATATATCGTAGACTACACAATCGTAAGACCAAAGACAAATATGACTTTGCAAAATGTAAAAGTATACAGAGGAAATACTTGTGGCAGTGATCATTACTTGTTAAAGACCAAGACCACATTTGGAGTAGTGAAACGACAAAAATTAAAAGAAGAATATGTAGTGGAAATATTATCAGAAAAGAGATACAACTGGACCAACAGTTGGAAATTAAAGGATGTAAAGTACAAAAAAGATTATAACCATATAACAATATGACAAAGCACAAATTTCTATTCCTATTTTATGTTTCGCTGCTATTTTAACGTCTTCTTTTATTCTGGTCCAGTAAATGTCTATACCTGCCTAGCCTTCTTTATTTAAATTTTGATTCCTCAGCCTGTTGGTGATGTTTTTCCAAGTACCGTTCTGCAATTGTCCTATCTCTCAGCTTTTGCATATTATATTTTTTTCTCTTCATATCAGGAGAGGTCCAGGTTACGTTGTGTATCTTCTTGTGTTCTGCTGCTAAGTTTATTAGTCTTGATTAAATAAGATAAATATTAAAAGTATTATTACCTATAGCAATAAAGTATGGCAGATAAAGTAACGATACAAAAGAATACTTAAGGTAACAGAAATGAATTTCTGGAGATGTTTGGCAGGGAAATCGAGATTGGAGAGGGTTTGTTGCAGAGAGGGGACATTTGGGCCTGTAGGACCCATCGCCGGCTCTTCGGACTTCTTCCTGTACCCGGAATTTGATCGGGTGTTGACCATCTTTGCTTGTCGCTGGTAAAACGTGTTAATACTGCTACTGGTATAAAATAACAGTTACCGTGACAAGTATCTGTTATAGGTAACAGTTCCAAGGAACAGTTACAAAATAGCAGATCAAAATAGAAAACAGAACAGGTAAAATAATCTAAGTATTCTTTGACTTACAAAAAAAATAGCTTAGTAAACAAGGAAATAAAATGGTATATAAAAATACAATGCACAGAAAATGTTTCTAATTGTTTCTTGACTTACGGAAGAGACAACTTAGAATGAAAAATAAAATAAACAAGAATAAAAGAACAGAGAAGTGCAGAAATATTCCTAAGTGTTTCTTGACTTACGGAAGAAACAACTTAAGACAGAAATATAGATAAATGAAATATGTAAATATGAAACAATGTATGGAAATATTTCTAAGTGTTTCTTAGAACAGAAAACAAACAAGAGAATCAAATATAGTAAAATAAGAATACAAATATTTGTAAGTGTTTCTTGACTTACGGAAGAAACAACTATAGAAAACAATAGAAAATAAGAAAATCAAATACAGAAAAGATATGGAAATATTGCTAAGTGTTTCTTGACTTACGGAAGAAACAACTTAGCATGAAATGGTAAAATAAAAGAGACAAATATATTAAGAAAATATCTTAGATAAATATCGGAAATAATAATGCAATAATGATTATGAAAATATTTCTAAGTGTTCTTTTGACTTACCGGAAAAGAATGACTTAGGCACACAATAAAATTAACAAGTCAAATATCAGAGAAATATTTCTAAGAGTTCTTTGACTTACCGGAAAGAACTACTTAGACACAAAGTACAAAATCAAAACAAAAATAGAAAAAAGTAAGGTAAATATTTCTAAGTGTTCTTAACTTACGGAAGAACAACTTAGATACAAAATACAAGAAAAATAAATAATCAAAATAATCAAATAAAATATCAAATAATCAGTATATGAACAAATATACGTCAAAGTAATATTCTAACCTGAAAAGGTCTGAATATACAATAATAAAATATAAATGGTTATCAGGAAATAAGAAATAAAACAATAGCTTAGTCGGAACAATAATAGCACCGACTAGGTCTACAGAAGAAGAGGCAAGCTCGACTGACTGATGGGAGAAATTCCATCTGCTTTTATATAAAACAAATCCTTTGTTTTACGTAGCAAAAGTGGAATTTCCCTGCATCGAGTCAATTAGAAATTCGGATTTGCCCAAACTTGGAATTTCCAAGTATTTCTCCGAATTTCTAAATGCGTCCGGCACGGCTGTCAGCTTCTGCCTGACACGCCTCCGGAGACAGGTTATAATCAGTAAAATAAGAGAAATCATAAAAGTAAATCATAGAATGGTAAAACAACTAAGATGTCCAAATAATGTTAAATACCGCAGTGTTTACGAGTATACGTTTGTTAGTGACAAAAATTAAACCTTAGTTGATATGTGCATAAATTTATTTGCGGTACATGTCCAAAAATTTATATAGGTCAGACAACTAGAAAATTTAAAAAGCATATCACACTTTACAGAGATCTGATCGAAAAAAAAACAATTCTATACATAAAAATTATTGTATCGAAATAAATTTTGTTATCTTGATAAAAACATGAATTAATGAATCTTTCTTAAATAATATAAAGAAAAATACATATATGCTGAAAATATTAGTAACGCTTATGACTAAAATAAGTAAAAATATTTCCTTTTAAAAACACAACTAATTTTTAGTAACCATTAAAATTTTAAATAATTAAGCAATATCTTCTGGTGACAAGCTCAATTTGTATCTCTGTAGGGCTACCTCTTTTGGAATAAAAATTGCTATGAAAAATTACGTTTTTTAATTTTTAATTTTCTCGAGACCTCAAACTGTTAGATACCAAATTATAAGTAAACAAACTTGACAGTACTCTAATAACCTTACAGCGGCATTTGAAGTGAAAATATTTCACTTTTTGTAGTTGTTTTGATCGTGTCGGCTTAGTTGAATATAAAAAAAGTTTTGATATATTGAAATTATTTTTGAATGTTCTATTAATCTGAGTGGCTCAGAACCAAAGGTTCACACTATACAACAAATTCACTCTTTTGAGATAATTGAGGACAAAATAAATCGGTTATATAAATTTCTAAATAAAGTAACATAAATAATTGATGGATTCGACCGTTACTTGATGCAAATTCATTTTATATTGTTCTGAAGCTATTTTCTTGTGGCATTGTAAATTAATTACTATTAAACTGGGAATAAGCCACAATTAAAGATAAAAATACATTTATTTAAAAATAAATGTATTTTTATCTTTAATTGTGGCTTATTCCCAGTTTAATAGTAATTAATTCATTTTATGTAACAATAAAACACTGAAAACTTTGTTTTCAAACTTCCACAAAATTTATTTTAAATATTATCACTACAGCTGTTTCGGCTGATTGCCTTTCTCAAGTGATCTATTTTGGCTTGGGTTTACAAATTTATAGTCTCTAATGAAATAGGTTGAGGAGGGGAGAACTGTTTGTCTCAAGTTGGTCATTCAGAATTATATCTGTGTTTTTTAATTTGTTGATTTCCATAGATTCTAACAAAGATAGATTAAGGCCTTTATTTTGAATGTGAAGAATTTTAAATTTGTCATTAAAAGAATGATTATGATCTAGAAGGTGAAGTGCGTATGTCGAATCTGTTTTTCTATTCTTGAAAGCCATTTTATGTTCTGCTATTCGTTTATCAAAGTTTCTACCAGTTTGACCGATGTAAGTTTTTGGGCAGTCGCCACATTTAAGTTTGTACACACCACTATTTAAGTGTTTTTTATTTTGGCTCTTGTTATTTTTAATATATTTGCCTAGGTTGTTATTTGTTCGGAAAGCTGGTGTTATTCCTTTCTTTTTTATGTGTTTGGCAATTTTTGTTGTTATTTTGCCTGTATATGTAATCGAGCAGAAGGTACTGAGTTTTTTCTCTGGTGTTGGAAATACTAATTTCAGGGCTTTCTTGTGTAGTTTTTAATTTAACATTTTATTAATTGTTTGTTCGTTGTGTCCGTTGTTTACTGCTATCTGCTTAATTATATTTAATTCAGTCTCAAAGTTGTATTTTGACATAGGAATTTCTGTTAATCTATGTAACATACTATGATAAGCTGCCAGTTTATGTTGTGTTGGATGGGATGACGAATTGTGTATAGTCGTGTCAGTATGGGTAGGTTTATGAAATATGGAGAAGTCATGTTTGTTTTGAAGTCTGCTAATTTTTAAATCTAAAAAATTTATGGATTGATTTTGTTCTGTTTCTATTGTAAATTCAATATGACTATGAAGTGAATTAATATATGATAAAAATTGGTCCATTTGCCTGTTAGTTCCTGTGAAACATACCAGTACGTCGTCTACGTATCTCCACCAATATAAAAACTGTTTGAATACGGGATGTTTTGAAATCTTTGTCTCTAGATGATCCATAAAAATATCTGATAGCAATGGGCTTAGAGGATTACCCATTATAAGTCCTGCACTGTTATTTGTATAAATTTTATTATTAAATTCAAAGTAGTCCTGGTTTATGCAAACTTCAAGAAAATTTCAGATGTAATTATTGGATTTGTACCATTTTGGTCTAAAAGGTTTTTTACTAGAATAAAAGTTTCTGTAGGAGGGATACTAGGAAATAGATTTTTTACGTCAAATGAAATTAATCTGGAGTTGTTAGGTAATTGAAAATGTTGTATTTTATTAACACTAATTGTAAAACCACATATGTCGTTTGCAATAAGCTACAGATGTATGAAACCTCAATACTCCGGGAGTATTGGATTTTAGGAAGTGTAAGACTTCCAAATTCCAGAAGAACTGGAAGAGAGGTGATGAAAATACTAAAGATATGGCTAAGCTCAGAGGAACAAATTTAAATGGCCAAAGAGACACTAAATCTCAAGTGAGTGTTCGGGCTAGCTTCAATGCACTGAATTGTGGCTTTAAAGATATAAAGCAGATAGTAAGGATAATGAGCTAATGAGACAAGAAACGAAATGAGGCCTGTTAATATCAAATGTGATACAACTAAAGAA